AGTAATTAAAGACTTTTGGGTAGAGGAAAACTTCACTGTAGGCTCACAAGGGTGGAACTAAGTCTGCCTTGCTTACTACTCTATTCCATATCTATGTTCCCAGCAGAGCAGGTGCCCAATAAATAATTGTTGAAAGTTGAATGCCGATGAAGGTTATGTTCACAGAAAGCTTTGCTGAAGTATGTAAAAGGCAATTGCCTAGTAGCAAGAAGGATAGAAAGTTACAAGGATAGAATGGTACCTACGAAGGTACAAGGATAATGGCAGTGGGAAATTCCTAAAAGAAAGAATTCTAGAATTTCTAAAAAGAAGCCTAGAAAAAAAAGGGGGAAACAGGTGATTTTGAAGTGATTTCTACAGAACCAGACAAAGCAAAAGCTTTTGAAGCTCAGAGAGGCAAACTGCCACTTGAGAAAATAAAGTCAATTATAATAAATTTTTCAGAAGAAAAAGAAACACCCCTGGCTATTTTTTTTTTTTTTGATCACTGCAAAGAACATAAAATTTTAGTCACATAGGAACCAAAATAAGAAGATATTGTTTAGACCACACAAGCATCTTGGAGGTGGGAATTCACAAAGCAAGCTTCTATGTGTCAGGCTGTGTGATAAACAGACCATCACCCAATAGCAGACCAGAAGCACACGCACACGTAATGGCATTCCAGGCCAGCTCTTTCCTGGTCCAACTCTCAGGCCTCCACCTGCCTGTGTAAGTCTCACTAATTCAGGTTTGGTAACTTGCTCCACAGATGTCACTAATGACTGTTAACTATTTTACTTGACCCTTCACCTCTAATTAAATTCTATTCCCTCTTTAGTCTTGTGTAATCTGCTGGTTTGAACACTTCCAATTCATTAACATGATCAATTGGTTTTCAATAAATGCCATTTGTGTCCTTCACTGGTTGGGAGGGAATGGTTATTAGATAAAGTATGAAAGACCGCTGGGGCTTTCACCTGCCATATGTTTAGTCTGAGGCAGTGTAGTGGCTTCACTGTACTGGGCTCTGTTACAATCTGGAGGCAGGAACAAGACCAAACACCTGTAATCATTTCTTCTATTTAGGAGAAAATAACTAGACTGAAAATGTTATGCATTTGGGGCTGGGTCCTAGTTCAACAATAACTCTTTCATCTTTACCTCTTTGCACCTCAATGTCCTTGTGTATAAAAAAAGGTTATTAGTACATGTTGTCAGTATTTCCCAAGAAAACGAGGAAAACAATTTTTTGTGAGTTTGATTTTTAGACAGTTGAAATATAAAGTCAACATTTAATAATTGTAGTGACTATTGAATCAGTCAATTTCCTGCTGGAATTGGAACTTCAAAAAAAATTTAGGTGTAAAGATTTTATCCCAGAGCAGTGCTGGCCAATAGGATTTTTCTGCGATGATGAAATGTTCTAGAAATGTGCTGTCCAATATGGTAGCCACTAACCACATGAGATCCTTTTCCCCTCCAGTTTTATTGAGATATAATTGGCATGTAACATTGTATTAGTTTCAGCACTTAATATGTGACTAATGGGACTGAGGAACAGATTTTTAAATTTTGTTTAATTTTAATTGCAGTCATGTGCTGCTTAATGACAGCGACATATTTGGAGAAATGTGTCATTAGGTGATTCCGTTGTTGTGCGAACATCAGAGTACACGTACACTAACCTGGATGGAACAGCCTGCTACACACCTAGGCTGTGTGGAGAAGACTATTGCTCCTAAGCTACAAGCCTGTACAGCATGTTACTGAAACAATGTGAGATTAAGTCAAGTGCAAGAGAAAATGATGCCATCAAGAGACACCAGATGTATGAAGCTGTTGCCGGAGTAACATGGCATACTGTTTTACAGAATACTTTTTATTTTAATAAATAGAAAGGGTACATTCTAATATAATGATTCAAAGTATAGTATAGTAACTATATAAACCAATAATATAGTCATTTATTATAATTATCAAGTATTATGTACTGTACATAATTGTACGTGCTATACTTTTATATGACCAGCAGCACAGTAGTTTTTTTTTTTTCACAGTAGATTTCTGTACACCGAAATCACCACAAACGTGTGAGTAATGCATTGCTCTAGGACTTTCATAGGTTATGATTCACCAAGTAATAGGAATTTTTCAGCTCCATTATAATCTTACGGGACCATTGTCAAAATATGCGGCATGTTGTTGACCAAAATATCATTATACAGTCCGTGACTGTAATTAAAATTTGAATTTAAATAACCACATTTGTCTAGTGGCTATGGACAGCACAGTTCTAGACAAATTGTTCTTTGTGTGTGCTCCTCAAGTCAGCAGCAGCAACATCACCAGGGAACTTGTTAGATATGCAAATTCTTGAGCTCCATCCCAGACTTACTGAATCAGAAGCTCTGGAAGTGGACTCTGCCAGTGGTGTGCTGATAAATGTTTAACAACTGGCTGTTGGGGAGAGAGAAGCCCTGATAAGCAGCATTTGCCAATTTCCCTGGTGTAAATACTCTCGCCATAGCTAATTTCAAGCTACTCACATGATACCACTGAACACGAGATTAGAAGGAGATGTATATAATAGGCTCTGAAAGTCCATAAAGGATTTCGATAAGCAGCCCAATGAGAAAGCCTGGACTCAGAACATATGCAACCAAAGTCACCTTGAGTACCCAGCCTCTGTTTAACATAGCTTGGCTCAGATTATTAAGACCTGCTGACTTCTGAGCATGGACAAACCTGAGCCCTGTCCCCTCAAAGTGAGGGGTCACATCCAACCTGCCCTTCATCAGAGCAGCCATTCCAAACCCTCTGCCATCTGGATAAGATAAATAACTTTACAGGCCTAACCCACTCCAGGGGCAGACCCAAGAAATAACCAATAATGATCCTCTAACCATGGCTCTCACTTAAAAAAAGGAATGAGAATTATATTATTATTAGGGTAGTCTAGAATCTGCTCCAATTAAATCTTAAGAAAATCTCTTACAAATTTCAGAAAATTCTGAAGACAACTTATAGTTGTTTACAACATACAGTAGTCAAAAAATAGTTTGAACAAGTCACTATGTCACTTCTTGAGCATGCTCTTCTTTTAAGATAAATATAGCCTGCCTATCTCACCAGATTTGTGGTAAGAACCAAATTATTTAACTATGTACATACAATCATATCTGGAATATTCTAATTCCATGTGCAGCCCTAAAAGAAGCAAGATCATACATTCATTTGAAATGGGCATAGACTTTCCTCTATCTTAGAAATCTATGCTGTAAGAAAGCTAAAATCAAGAAGTCATTTGCACATACAGCCTCTAAGGCAGAGTAAATCCCTATGTATCAGACAAACTTCCTGATTTCATTACAGACCCAAAGCAGAGTTCCATTAAAATAACTGCATGCATTACCTGAATATTTCCATTGCAAAAGTCATAGTGATTCCTGTGAAGCTCTATATTTTACCCTATTGAATTTGGCCTAAATCCCAAATGAGACTACAGTGGAAAAACTAATGTATATTCTTGCCCTTATTATGCTTTTTAGTGTAAAATGTATTTACATTTATAATGTACTTGGAGAAAATAGCTAGAAATTTTAGCTGCCAGTTTATGGGCTCAAGATGGCTGGCAAAAGAGCATCTTCTAAAGAGAGGACTTGGTCCCAGATTCTACCTCTGAGTATAACAGTGACATCGCAGACTCACCAACAGGAGGACACACACGAGCTATCTAGAGACTTGACAAAGAAGATCATTTTTCTTGGTGTTACACTAACAGGTCCAGATGGACATATTTAAGACCATAATTTGACAAATGGAATTACCCAACCTGAGTGACTTTACATTTCTCATAAATGCAAAAACTATAGCAAGTAAAAGTATTTCAAATCACACTTAATTCATATAGTGAAAGTGCTTATAAACTATAATCAGAAGGCCTCCTGGGTGGTTAAAAACTGAATATTATTCAGAACCAATGCAAAGATTTTATGTGGAACTTGAGAAAATATTACAACTTGCTCTGACATTGTATTTTTTAGTAAGAAATTGTTGTGTACTTTGTATTTTTCATGTACTTTGCTAAGCTCTTTGTCTACCATCTAATTCATTCTTAATCCCGAAAATTGGGTATTATTATTATTCCCATTATAGGTGAGAAAATGAAGGCTTGGAAATATTAATTTATTTTTGCTCAAGTTCACACAGCTGTTAAATGGCAAAAGTGGGAAAAAGATAAAGTCTGGCTCCAAACTTCCTTTGAGTACAGCAGAGGCTGCCAGCCTAGTACATTTTGTGAAATATCTATGGATATTCCAGAAGTTCCAGTCATTCTTACTTTGAACATATTGAAAGTAAGGTTACTCTAAGTCAGAGCAAAGTATTGAATTATAGACTGTTTATCAAAATACTACTTTATTTATCTCAAACATATGGAATGACTCAAATTACCACCGTGGCATCTATGGAGGCGGGCCTCTCAGTTCTCTTTCTGAGAACTTGCTGAACAGCTGCAAGGCATTCAGTGAGCTGAAAGCCTCCGACTGCAGCATTGAGAATCTGTTGAGCCTTTGAGTTGGTGTGGATAGCAGGGCACAGCATTTCTGCCCAATGTGGGATTTCTCTAAGGTAAATTTGACCGAGGTTGTCTCAGGGCTTCAGTGAAGTCTGAGGCTCTTCCTACACGCTTCTCCTTCCTGTGTGCCTTTTAGAGGTGGCAGGGCTGCATCACAGTCTGAAGACTCTCTCTACCTACTCCTACTCCCCTTATTCTTGCAACAGAAATAATCTCAATACATTTCTTGTACTTCTAACTCATAGTGTCTGTTTCCCAAGGGACCCAAATGACACCACCACTAAGAAAAGTCTTTTCACAGAGCAGCCCTACCAAGCGTGTTAAAAAACAGAGAGTCATTTACCAACTAGTGTTTGCTCCTGATCTGTCATATATAAAGTGCTGTCATGGATTCCATGGGGAGACTAAGCTGCTGTAAACAAAAAAGACAAGTGTGCACCTGTAACTCAGACTATACTTTATTGCCATTAATGCGTACGTTTAGCAAATACACTAAGGAGTCTGGGAGAATTATCTTATGGTGACGTGACCACCTCTATTAAACTAAATGCTTTTCTACAGTTATTGCAGAAGAAGAAACCATATTTTTTCACTGTTGGTGGCTTATGTAGGAGATAATTTAAGTGTAGAGGTATGTACAAAGAGAGAGGCAATGACTAGGGGACTCAAAAAGTATGCACAGAGGATTTCTATTCCCATGTCTCCAAAACTCCTCCTTTATTTCTCATCTTTCCAGTATCCATCTGGTATAATTAGATTACCATTTCTTTAACAAGTAAGATGAAAAAAATTATAGGTGAACACCAATGCATACAGATTAGCCTTTTCTGGTAACTCGTTATCCTATCACTTCCTCAACTAAATTAACCTCTATGAGAAATATATGATATTTATGACAAAAAGCATTATAGGAATTTTCCCCTAGGTTGGGTCATTCATTCAACCGATATTTACCAAGCATCAGCTCAGAGGTAGTGACTGTGTCAGCAGGTGAGAATAAAATGATGATCAAGACAGGCATGGCCCATGCTTTCGCTGAACTTAGAGTCTAGCTCAGTGCTTTTCAAACTTTAATGTGCAAATGAATCACTGCGATTTTGTTAAAAGTGCATCTTCTGATCCAATAATTCTAGGGTGGGGTCTGAAATTCTGTGTTTCTAAGAAGTTCTCAGGATGCTAGTGATGCTGGTCCTCAGACCACGCTTTGAGTAACAAGAGACTGGCCTGTTGGCTCTCAGCTGCTGTGCTGTGACACACTCCTATATTGCGAGTACTTCTCAGGGGTGCCGTCAAATTTGAAACATGAATATCGTCAATATAACAGGAAATATATACTTTTACTATAATGCCTACTGGATGAAATTTTTAGCTGAGAGGTCAGTGATTAAAGGAGTATGATTTACGGAGAGGAAAAAGTAAGAGGTGAGGTATGGAATAACATCAAGATGGCTCCAAAGAGTGATGGAGTTCCGGAAACGGGTGAGAACGCGGCCTGTGAACATGTTCACACAGTCAGGGCACTGACCCCCTCTCCTCAGCAATGACACGGGGCTTATGGAGCTCAGGGAAACAATAAGACATTTCTTTTTCCATAACTTGCTTTGTCTTTATCAGCAGTCACTTTCTAGCCCTCTTGAGTATACCAATAAAATTCCTCACCCAGGGTGCTACGAATACATAAAGTTAGTCTTGTTCAAAACGTGCATGCTCAAAAATAAAAGGAGGCCAAATATATAACTGTGGGCGATGTGTTTATAATTTGACATAAATTGTCAAATTATTGTATCTTAAAATGGGGTTGTGGCAAGGTGGAGGGTAGAGAAATTAACCTGAGATATAAAAAGGGTAAAGTCACTTTGATCTCTATAAACTTAAATACCCAGGTGCAAAATGCAGTGAGAGATTACAAGTATCCTAAACTCATCTACGTGTATATCCTTAGCCAGATAATATTTAACAGTAAGAAGAAACTCCCATTAATAATTTAAAGCGAGAAAGAGAAACCCGAACAAGTCAAGGAGTTAGGAGGAAAGGGTGATCAAGGTTAGCTATGAAGCTGGGTATGCGGAGTTACCCTACAAACTCATAAAACTGTATTCTTACATGTAGACACTTATGCGTAGAATGAGAAAATGAATTTATGAAGAACCGATCTGGCAACCTGAGAGACAAGACTAACTGGTGAGCTACAAATACTGGCAGCATCACAAGCACACTTTCTGCAGACAGACACATAAAAAAAAATGACTTCTTTAGAATAAGTCAAATTCATTATACTGCTCACACATAGACATACTATTATAAAGCATGATAATCATTTTGGATCTTTTTAGAAGTTTCCTATTTTTCTATTTTGATTTTTTTTTTTTTTTAAGCAAGAGAAAAAGAGAAGTCAGAAAATGCTGTTAGTCACGAGTGACAGAGGGTATTAGATACTATGGTTTCTTGCTGGAAAGGTTTCTTTTCTGGAGATGTGCTATTTTCCCTCAAAAAAATGAAAGAGTTTGACAAGTGAATTTAGGAGGTGATTGATATTGATGTGGCCTTCTATGCCACAAAACAAAACATAAAGCCCCTTTACAAAGATCAGAGAGGACAAAGTAAAGTCCCTATCACCTAAATTAAAGTCTGGCCTAAACACCAAAGCAAAACATTTCAATCACTTCAACAACAAATTAGCATATGAATCAAAGATGGCTATTTGACTGGAAGCAGACACTGTCTAACACAGCCGTGTTCATTTTCAAAGGCAGTTTAGCTTCCTTCGAGCATCGTGAGGATGCATTCCAGGTGATGGGCGCATGAACCCTGAGTACAACTGTGAAACTTGCGCACATGGAAAATAATTTCATCAACTAAAGGGAAACCATACCACACTATGTCCAAAATGCTGTCTGCAGCGCGTGTTACATGAGGTTTTAGTCTATTGTGTTTTGTATTCTACTTTAAAGCCATGATTGATGCTTATTTAATTTTCTGTTTAATCGATTAATTCCAAACCTGAACGTGACAGGCCAAGCAAGGCCACTTAAGGATGCTCTCTGCCCAACTAGCAGCACCTTCAGTTTAATAATTACCATATAATTTATATTTAGTTAAGGGATGGACCCTGGAATCACATACAACTTTCTGAAGTGAGAAACTTATTTTGAGTGGTCCATGGGTGCTGACTTTCTTTATGAATAACTGATGTTCTGGGGACTGATTTTCCTCTTATTTCTATTATGACTGCTTAGGACACAACAGCAAAGTGTCTGGTTGGGCAGGTGTTTTTCTGCATCCCCTTTAATTTTTCATATTAGATATAATCTTTTAAATTCCAGTTAGAGGCACCTACCCAGCTTGTCATGCAGAAGGAACACTCTAAATTATTAAATATGCCTCAGGGTGGAGAATCAGTGTATCTTCATTCAATATTAGATTCATTCTAATTATCCTCTGGAGCTCAGAAAATTAGGGAGTGACTGCAAGAGTAAATATGGGAGTCAGGTGGAAACACAAAAAGAACTCAGTGGAACATGTGACAAAAATATGAGACAAAACCACCATCCATTTATATTTCTAAATCAAGTCTTTAAGACATCTAAAGCTCTGAAAGAGATGGGACATCTAGGAATACAGATTTGGTCTTTCCTGAGGACCAACGAGCCAGGCAGCTTCACTGGCTTCTCTGTCTGGGCTGGGGTTTGGAGTCTGGGCTATCACTCTTCGTTCTTTTGCGCACAGGCTGCTTTCATGGGACCTGCTGGTGTGGTCTCCTGCTGCGCCAGAGCGAGCCCTCCCACTATAAAGACTGAAGAGAGGCAACGTGGGATGCCAGCCCCGCATCTTTCAATAGCCAATTTTCCTCCTGAGAGAAGCCCCAAAACATTGTGAGCACTCACTGTGGAAGACAATGATGTTCAGTTAACATCAGAAGAAAACCCCATGATTGTTTTCAGGACTAAGAACTTTGTGTTCCAAGTAGCATCTAGAGACCTTCCTACTTGTTCTTTATCTCAACAACTTCACCCAAAGTCTCGCTCAGCCACTTGTTAGCTAAAACAAAGACCGATGGGCATTATTCGTGATGTGTTCTTTTTCCTTTCTTTTTTTTTTCTGGATATCTTATCTGTGTTTTTTATTTGTCAACTTTATTGAGGTAGAATTTATAGACAATAAAATGCACTCATTTAAAGTAGAGAGTTGAATGAGTTTTGACAAATTACAGACCTGGGTAACTATCACCATGACCAAGGTATCGAACTTTTCCATCACCAAAAAAGTTTCCCTTGTGAACGTTTGGGGTCAATTCCCACCACCATGACCCCCAGGCAACACTGGCCTCATTTACACCACTATAGACAAGTGCTGCTCATTCTAGAACTTAATAAAAATGAAATCATGCAATATGTATTCTTTTTTCTGAGGCTTCTTTCACCCAGCATAATGGTTTTGATACTCATCCGTATTACTGTGTGGATTTATTCCTTAACATTGCCACGTAGTATTACATTACATCTACCTATTGACTGACACTTGAATTGTTTCTAAGGTACTCTGAATAAAACTGCTAAGAACAGCTGTATACAGATCTCTTGTAGACATATTATCATTTCTCTTAGGTAACTATCTATAAGTGGAATTGTAGAGTCAGTAGATGTTTTCTTTTCTAAAATTAAAACAACAAAAATATATCATTGTCTAACAAAGTTCAAATCACCTTATTTCCACTTGGACATTTAAAAGGAAGGGATGACATCATAAGTCAGAGAGCAGCCCCAAACTAGAAAGGTTAGGTAGACTTCCTACGGGCAAGCAAAGTATGACCACCATACTTTGAGTCAGAGCTTTCTCTGAGCACAGTGAAGGTGCTCAGGACTCACTTATGGAGTGGCTGAAAAGGAAATTAAGAGGTAACAGCTGGTCAGGCTGTGGCAGGCAGCTAAGGACTACTCCAGTGCAGCCTCCACATGTGAGTGCTTGGGTTGAGACTCATGTTCTGAGTTAGCCTGGGGACCACAAGTCTCAGGCTATTTCAGCCTTGCAAGAATCACTATTCTGAAACTCAGCTGTGAGTTGCTGAGATAAGGCTAGAGTGCAATGAAGTACCTGGCAAAGATTAATAACGTACAAAAAAATCATCAGCATTACATATAAGGATTTAAATAGGGATAATTTCTTTAATTTTCCAGTTGTGCTTTCTCATTTGATTAAAATGGTTATCTATGACTTTGACTAGATTAAATTAGCTATAGTCAACTAAATGCATATCAAATGTAAATAATGTCTTATCCTGTCTTCTTTCTCTGCAAATAACTCCTTACACCCCAGAGGGAATTTTCCAATTCAATATCAAAGACTGAGTAAACATTTGGTGTAGGAGCTTAAAAGAAAATGACTGTGTAACTTTATTTTCCATATACATGCAGATAAAAAAGAAACACATAAAAACTCCCTCTGCGAACTGAAAGTTTGGAATTGAGTCTTCTAAAAGGCAAAAAGAATGGAGAAAACAATGAATCACTTATTGGTTCATAAACAAATTAGAGTCTCATGCCTCAGAATTTCATGATTATGCTATGTGATGATCACTGGTCATCTTGTGGATTCTTCCACTCAGTCAGCGCAAAAGTTACATTTTCATAGTTCTAAGTCTTCCTTTTCAATTTAATATTTAATATGAATTTACAGAGAGGAATAAATAAGGAAAATGTTTAAAGTATTTTACAAGGCTTTTGGCCCAATTTAAAAGTACCATGTGTTTTGGATCTTACAGCTCATTATGGACATCTAAGTAGCACTTCCTTATAGCTCATGCTAGAAGGTGATCAAGAATAGAATTCACCATTTTCACCACCAGTCTATGGTCTACCATACTGAAATCTCCATGACAAAAGACAAAAGTAGAGGTAAGCAGGACACCAGCTTGTATCTCCTGGTAGCAGCTGGAACCTCTGGCAGGGCTGGCTTAAGGGGTAAGTAGGCTACTACAGTTAGCATTGAGACACACAAAGAATCTCTGTCTTTTGAAAGCCCTGTTCATTTGACATGCTTGTCTGTTTCCTGCAAATCTATTGCTCTTACCTACCACCTCCACATACATACTCTTCGATGAACGTGGAAAAAGAGTGCTGCACTAGAAAGCAGGAGCTTTAGAGTCCTTGCACAAATTGCGTAATATCATTGGCTTCCATCTATAAAATGAGTAATAACTACTTTTCCTACTTGAAACCCAGAGGCTGGGCCCAGATTTTTTGATTCTAGACCACCCACTCGACGTCTTGGCCTGAGGCTTCCTCTTTGCAGATAGCAATGGCCCTGTCCTCCAGCAGAGCACAAGCAGTTCACGTCAGATGATGCTACACAATGGCTTAACTCTCACTTTTATATTCTTGGAAAGAAAAGCCCACGTCTCTATGCTTCCAAATTCTATTTGTGGAAAATAACAAATCACATATTAAAGAAACGCCTGAAAAGACTCTAAGGTACAAATCCAACTGATATACATCTTTGTCGATGACGTCTGTTACCAGGCGGCTTCTACAACACCATTTTAAAAGTTGGCAAAAGCCAATCTAAAGAGCATCAGGTGCCAGTCTCTGAAGGAGGCAGCACCAGCTCTAACAGCTCAAACGTGATGACATTAAATGCAAATCTGGGCTGAGATGACCAGCCAATCCATGTTTCACTATCTTCACTCTTAGTTTGAGAAGAAAACTCAACCACAGCCAGAGAGAGCTGTTATACCACTGTGGAGCCATGAGGATGCACCGACTACAACGAGCAAACTGGCCAAGAGCCCAGCTGCTGTGCTCTGAAGTCCACTCCTACAGTCTCTTGGAGGCTGCTGTGCCTTCCAAGTGTGCAGCAGGGTTAGCTACTAAGGCAGGCCTCTGATGGCTGACTTTACGTAAGGACTTCCTGATGCCCTGGCTGCCTTTGACTAAGCAGACTAGTACATGACCACTGAATCTCCTCTTTTCGCTTGAATTGTGGTATGATGGTTCTCTCAGCCTTTTCCAGCTCCTTTCCTACTTCCTTTCATGCAGACATTCCCCTAATAACGTCTTTGCACTTTTAGTCCCATCTTGGCATCTGCTTCTCAGAGGTCCAGACTGATAGTCTTCATTCATTTATTCATCTACTCATTCATTCATTCAAGAAATATGTCTACAATGTCGGAGCACTTTGTTCTAGTAACTGGGGAGAATGATACAAGATTGGGAAGATCCCTACACACACAACCTTCCCCTTGAAGAGTCATAAGCTTCTTCCCCTTCTTTGGCTCTTACTAGACAGGCTTTGGTTTCCAGTGCTGGGCACTGAATTAAAAGAACATCACATGCCTACTCTCATTTGTTTTTTGCAACAAACCTTAAAGGAGGTATTACTCCGGTTTCACGGATAAGGAAACTGAGATCTAGAGAGATTAAGTTGCCAGAGGCTTCCCTGACAGCCAGCTTCTTTACTCTGAAACCCCTGTTTTCAACTGTTAGGCTATGATGCATCTCCCCTATTTGGGTGACAGCTCTGAGTACATTTTTTTCTACCAACGATTGCACATTCAAATAGTTGATTTTCCAAAGCCTGACTTCAATTCCTCACTTCAAAATTACGAGGGCCAGGGAAGCAATTTATAGAAAAGAGAAACAGTGCTGCTGCACATTCACAGTCCTCCACTGCTCCACTCAGACTAATGATGTCGTTTAATCCACGCGGATGACGTCCTTCGCCTGGTGTGAGTTTCTAACTCATCTTCACTATTACAGAGAAGATAGGAAAGGACAGACAAAACCCTCGGCTTCTCTGCTTTCGAAGCTGGTCACAGCCCAGCTCTGGCGAACTGATGGAAGGTGGTCACACACCCCGGGCTTCTCTCAGAAGCCAGTCAGGCCTGCTGCAGGGCCAGCTGTACCAACCCATGTGTCAGCTGAAAGCACCCGTTTGAGTACTGACGCAAACTCATACCGTGATCTCCAAGGTCAGCTATCGTGTCCTCTACACTTGACTCAAGCACGCTGAGGTCCAGGGAAGAAATAAGCTGAGACTCAGGCAGGTTCTCTGAAGTCGAGTCATCAAATTCCTTGTGGAAGATAATTAACAATTCATGAGGCACTGATAAAAGGAAATTGTGCTACCACAAATGAAACAATATTCTTGTTTAGGAGACTGTTCGGAAACCAAAGCCTATCTAATCCTCTCCCCTAAACATGATAACATTTTCAATTTCAAGAAGGCAGCTTGGGATAAGAGAAACAACCTTGAAGAAAAGCATTTAACCTCCCGAGGCCTCAGTTTCAGGGCCACGACCAGGGTGAGGCAAGCGGAAAGCCCAGGGTGCAAAGCTGAAGGAGACGCTGCCTTTCAGGCTCTTGCAGGAGCAGGATCTATCAGCGACTGAGCACAAGCACCTCCTGCAATTTTGCACCGAGGGTATCACTCTTACTTCACCCGAGTCCAGCCCTGCTCAGTTTTCTCACCTTGAATTAAGTGGTATTGGCTTGGATGCCTTCCAAGTTCTTTTCTAGCTTTAAAAGTTCTGTGATTCATAATGTATTGACTTAAAAGGCTATAAAAATAAAAATACTCTATTTGTATTTTTTTTTTAAGTTCTGTGATTCTATGAATTTCAACTTCCTAAAACAAAGAGATCGAAGAGGCCACATTAAAGAATTCAAAACTTCAAAACAAATAAGTTAAATTTCTCAAATTTATCAATAGTTACTTCAATAAATCATTTTGCCTTTTTCTCCAGGTGTGTGTGTGTGTGTGTGTGTGTGTGTCTACAACCCAGAGTTAATGCTGAATTGACCTATTTTCCTTGATAAACGGACTTCATGGGGAACTACTCCAAGAGTGTCATCTTATTAAAAACAGAAAGTTCAAACTAATCTTAAATAAGTAAAACAAAGCCGTGATGCACTGTCATATGTAGCATTTGTGAAAATAGAGTCATAAAATATTTTTAAGATGTCCATTTGTTGTATTGTATAATAATTGTTGTATGAAGTGAAATTGATTTCAATTTCAAAGGATCAGTGACAGCACACAGAGAATTTTAACAACAAAAACAGAGACTGCGTGAAATGTGTTTTTACGTGTACTTTGGAAATTATTTGATAATAAGTATTTGGACTCTCGACTGATTTGTTGAGTTTCTCTTTGAAGAGAAGAGACAGAATTGTTATAATTGCTTTTCTTAGGAAGAGGAGGACATGATCTGATCTTTGATCCGCATTACTGTTTCATTTATGGAGACATGATCAACTAATTGGGTTTTTTCATAGAAAATCAATTTGACACCTTCACAGCTATATCCGTCACAGGATAAAAGAAAGACTGAGCTTATTGTATGTATGATGATGGTCTGGAGCTGATTTTAAGCTACCATCCTATAAAAAAAGAGAGCCTAACATGACTCTACATTCAACTGTGCTTCAAGATTTCAAAGCACAAATTCAGCCAAGCAGAAAATGCCTGCTAAAATAAAAGGACCTATAATTTAGGGTCTAAAAAACAAAACGAGAACTCTCCTGGATGCCTCAAAGAGTTTTTATAACCCGTTTAAGTGGTGACATAGTTAGCCCACTATCCCCTAACTCTGATTCTATCTCTGACAACTACTTTAGAAATATAAAGTGGTTTGCTTCGGCTGGCAAGAGAGAAGGAAGAAGGAATAGCGAACAGAGCCCCAGTGAGATTAGGAAGAAATTAAATCATAAATATGTGTATGGGTGTAGACAGGAACATTTTCCTCTTCCTTTTCTCCTACTTTATCATGTTTTCCTTTAGCTTCTTGCACCTGATGAATTCAATTTCTTATGTTTTATTTCATCTTTTTCAGCTCAGTGATGCCTCTCCTTGAGTGTTTGGCTTCCCGTTTTCTCCCTTCTTTGTTCTCTAAATATCATTAAATCTGCCTCGCTCTTGTGCGTGTGACTATGATTAAACTTGCCTCTTCTCTGCCTGGCTTTCTCTCTTCATCCTCCTCCTGGGGTGAACAAGAAAGGCTTTCCTCAGGTTGCTCCTCCTTTTCTTCCATTCCCATTAAATGCTTTTTTTCCTAAAGAGATTGTAAGAAGGTCTATTCATCGGTGGCTTTTCCAGGTCTTCCTTCATCTGAAGGTGAGCTGCTGCTTTTGAGGACCCCAATTTCTGACAATTAGTAATCAGAGTGTGCCCCTGGACTAGCATCATGGGAATCTCCAGGAAGCTTGTTAGGAATGCAGCATTCCAGGCCCCATCCCAGAGCGATCCAATCAAAATCTTCATTTCAACAAGATCAATAGGTGATTTAGGTGCATTTTGAAGTTTGAGAAGCCATTGTCCAGTAGCTTATATAAGCCACACGAATTTGGAGGAGGGCCAATCAATTGTGGACCTGAGAAGTCAAAGGTTTTCCTGAAGAGGAAGAGGTGACATATGAAAGAGAGAAGGTGGAATGCTTGATGGGCCACAGGGAAATGGCTGATGTAATTGCACAAAAGAGGGCAAGAGACGTGGGGGCGCTAAGCAACCCCGTCTGCAGAACTGAACCAGCTAAAAGAGGTTATTATCTGCAAGAGCCACATATCTGCCTGGAGCATTTCCTGCCCCCATTGATATGCAAACTTAGGAAACATGCTTCTGGAAAGTTCAGGGCCAAAGATGCTGGTGATACTAAATCTTAGAAGATCAAAGAATGAACCAACATCTCTGGCTAAAGCACCATCAGGCACTTCTCTCCTGCTCCTCATTCTTTGCTGATGCAAAGGGGATGGAACTGGGAAGGTATGAGTTGGAACTTCATAAAATCTTTGTGACTTTCTCTTTGTCTAAGTTGGGCCAAGACCTGGACTCTGGCTCCCGTATTCTATGGGATAATACATAGCCAACAAAATCTCCTGAGAGTCAGCCTGCATTATAGTCTCAGCCTTAAGTTACTTGAAGATCTCCCAATGACCATGGTTTACAGGAGGGACAGGACCTAATATAGTGTAGTTGTTTAACACTGATAATAATCATATCAGAAGTGAAAAAGAACACAAAATGATTATTTTGAATGGTCAATGATGAAAAGCAAAAAAGTTAAGTAAATATTAGACACTAAAATGTAAGATCATATTTGAAACTACTTTTTTATTTGCTATCTGGTAATTCCACAAATAGTTATTTATATTATTTCTTAATTAGGGTAATGTTGTTAATAATATATAATTTTTGTGTGTACAAGATTATAACTCGACCTCTGTGTATTGTAAAAATATTACTATATCCAATCTTAGGAGATGAAATCCCTTAGGAGCAGGGGTCTCTGAACATTCCAGGAAAAAAAAGTCCCAGTTTCTATCAGTAGATTGAACAAGTAGTTTACACATATTAGCAAACATAGAATTCTTATCTCAGACTCCTTGTGATCTGTGGGAATTTGCAATTCTCAGTCCTGCGGGCAAGAAAGCTGACAGACCTAAGGAAGACAACCGCCTCCATAGGTTATCATTTCAGGGCCTAGAAAGTGTCCGGAGAGCTGAAGACAGGCACTCAGTTCTCAGAGGGCATCAAGTGGTGGCATCAAGACCCTCCTCCGAGTAGGGATGTGACACTACTGCTGACTCCATGCCCTTCAGCCAACAATTCTCATTCACCAGGTTCTGTGAGCGGGAACAATCCCACCACCCACCTCTCTGGGGCCTGCAAGAGATCCCACAGCCGGCTTCCCTTAACAGAGTGGGAGATGGGTAGAGAAATGGGTCAGGAATGTGGAGGGATTGAGCACATATCGCTGATGTCCCCACATTGTCTGCTAAAGGGTCCAACAGAGGGAGGCTCTTCAGGTCAGAGAAGTCTGGGCCTCCCATCTTGTCCAACTTTGGGTTTTCAGAATGCTAAAGCATTCACAGCCACTAAATAACTAAGAATGGTGAACAACGTCTCAGAGGAATGCAGAAAACAAGTGTTCCTAGGCTGTGCCTGGCTGAGTGTGGGCGCAGCTACGGGGCCCCTGCATACCTCAGGACTTGGAGCCCTCTGATTACTGAGTTACAGCAGAATGAGCATCCTCAGACTTCAAGGATCATCCCCACAGCCTCAGAGGGCTTGGTTCTTCCTGTTAAAGGGAGGAGTCTCCCTGAGATGCAGGGATCTCCAATGAATGAACAAACAGAATTTGAGACAGTAAAGTTCTCCATAAAAATGACTCCTTCCCAAGACGCTTTTACCGGAAGAGCTCAGAGTTGGTATTAATGTCTATTGTGCAAACACGACCCTGAAAAAAGACTATTTTAAGTATCAGAGCCTACACCAAGTCCTATGGAGATATTTTAGCCATTAGAGAAAACAGTATTTGTTATCCAGGGGCTTGGCATGCAGATGACATGAATTTGGGGTACATGTCATATAAATCTGCAACCCTATTTATTATTGGACATCTATGGTAATTTTTCAAAGTTTGAATGGGATTATTAACACAAGATGGGATATGGATGGGAGACAAGATAAAAAGGGAAAGAATAAAAAATAAGTCAGAAAGAGAACAATGAACTAAAGAGATAAGGCAACAATAACGTGGCTGAAATTCAAAATTAGATATACACACATTTGTTCTGCAAAGTCATAATTTTAACTCATCGATTGTTCATTCAGCACTGATTAAGTTATCTTGTACACAGTAGGCACTCGATATTTATTAGATGAATCAATCGACCCACCTCTAAGTACAGCTGCTTTGATTAGTGGTCACTAACTGTTGGCCTGCCTTCTAAAGTGAACCCTCGTACATCTTCCCTGGAATTGGGCAAAGTTGATCTGGATGCTTTTTTCCCCTACCTTGTCTGTTTTCCTACCCAACTGGCCACATGAATCTGAGAAATCTGTAGCAAAAAATGTTTTTACGTAAAATTTAAAATAAGAGTACTTACATGGAGTACATCAACAGTTAGCTGCTGAAAGTTCCGAGATCTCAATTCTTGCATTCGTTTGTTATTTTCTTCATATTTTTCTTCTACAAGCTTTCTACAAATTTAAAGCAAACATAGAAAAATGGCTGCAATTTGCTAAAACTGCATCTGTATTATACAGGTAAGTGTGATCCTTGGTTCGACAGGCCAACTGAGGTGTTGGGAAGCCAGGCCAACAGGTCTTCCTCTCATGAAGACATGCGTGCAGTGCAGCACCCACTTTATTCCCTCTTAAAGCACAAACAAGGATATTCTGGCTCCTTATTCATGCCTTGAATTCCTAAAATGCAGAAGACAGTACTGATCCCTGTGTGTTCTCTGTGATGACAGGGGTGTGAGTTCCTGACGCCCAGCAGAGTGCTTAGCACATACTAATAACTCAATAACTGCTTTCAGAATGAAACAAACATATAAACAAGAAAAGCAGAGCTATATTTCAAAGAATTTATGGAAAAGAATATGAGACTCACTGTGGATGGGAATTTTTCTCAAACACATTTTCTTTTACTACAGGAGAGTTAAATTTAATAGATCTGCTACTGAACTAGAAGATTTGAGTTCTTGTGATTACTTGTGTGCTAATTTACACCTAGATTTTTTGAAAAGTTATAGAAAATCCCAGTGGTCAAATTTTCCAGTCTATGAAATGAATTTATTATAACCCTATTGATAATAGAGCCGTTTTCCAGCTAAAATACGTAACGACTCTCAAATCCCAGAAATAGCAATTACAAACAATTCAGATGCAAGTCATTCATAAAATCCAGACCAAACTTTATTTAAAAGGCATTGTCTTTAATAAGAAAAATATAAAATGTCATGTAGAAGATCTATGACTTTCTTTTGCTTATGAAAAAGTCTTAATCTGAAAAAAATAATTTGTAATGTGGGTGTAAGTAATTAAACAGCTCCTTTAATCTGTTCCTGTCAGAGATTTAATTTTCATTTTACCCTCAACCAATGACATAAATCATGATAACCTGGAGATATTGCCATTTCTGAGTCATTAGAAATAGATTTAGGGAGTTGATGCAATGGCTCAAACAATTTATGTGAATACATGTTATCTCAGTATAACATACACTCAATGGTTTGCAAAACCCAACCCATACTGGCCCCCAAGATCAGATTATATACCTATCTTCCTATCTGAACAGTCAATGATCTCATATGGGTAGCTTGCAATTGGTCATCGTGGAAGTATTGACACCACATAAATCTGCAAACAAATCAGCAGCCACTCTCGTCCCCCACCCTCAACTCACCTCACAACCCCAGAGGTGGTGGTTAAACATTGTGAGCACACTACTAGCCCTTGAGCACTATAAAGGAATCCTTTCCCGCATTTATTAAAGACAGCATGTCTTAAGGAAAAATGGTCTCACAGATTCTTACTTGGTTCACTATGATATTCACTGTAAGTACAAGGACACCTCTGAGTCATTTTTCAATTACATTAACAAGGTCTCAGATTGAATAGATTTGAGTTTTAGTTCTTTTCTGTCTCTTGTTCTTGGCTGAGGCTTCTGAGCTACCAAAAAGTTGGCAGAAGAAGAAAGAAGAAAAAAATTAGAAAATTGGATAAACTACCAACTGCAGAATCAGTCTTTGAGAAATTGGAATTCTAGGGCTCTTTGGAATTCCCCTTTTTCATGTAAATACTCTAATTACTAGTACTGTCTCTTACCAGCAGCACTGGCCTGAGCATAGACTTTTCAAAGGGCTTCAGTTGACAGAACAGAGCTCTGTTTCCAAACTTCTTTCTAAGGCCAACAATTTCATGCCAGTACCTTCTTCTCCCTATAGATAAGCTTAGTTTCCTGGCAGAGGGGGTACAGCAAACATTTAGGGAATGAAGACCCATACTGAAGTCACCTTTTCACCCTATCACTGGGGTAAGTACAGAAGGTGTCAGCAACAAAAAAAACTTCGTTTGGAGACTGATATTTTTATCACTAGCAACCTCTTCAATCCTTCTACACAAGACTGAAATCCTGATATTAATAATGCCTGGTATCCAATAACCATCTATGGCTCAATAACCATCTTTCTAGGGAACGAGTGAATAAACGAACAGACACATGTGTAATGAATATGTGCATTTTGATTTCTTGTTTTGGTTTTGCTCTTCTTCAGCAAATTCCTTTGGAGCCCTGGGAAGTGGCCCACAGCCGGGGACCCCAAGGAAAGGCAGCTTACTTCAGTTTCTTGGCTTTCTCATCAGCTGCCTGGAGCTTCCTGAGCCGCATCCTTTCTCTCGGTGTCATTTTTTGCACTTCAGAGAGCGCCCGCAGAGTCTGTAGGTGAATCTTTTTTTGCCTGGAGAAAATAAAGATTCCCCACACAGAACACATCCCAAACATACTCAGAGAAATTAAACAAATATTTCACAAAAGCATCATTATACTACTGAGAAGGGAAAAACATCTCGAGACAGGCCAGGCAAAAACTAATAAAGTCTGCGTAGGTAATGAGCCAACTAGGACTGTGGTTAATTGGCAGTATTTTTCAAATTAGATTTTTGTTTAAAAGCAAATTATGTACTTTCCAAATTTCTGCTCATTTCATTGCCTATGACTGGTTTTCATAATGTAAGACAAATTAGGATCTTGGCCATTAAGAAGTAAATAGACAGGCAGACTAATTTGACCATGCGGATAGAACACAATATTTGGAAACAGGCAGAGTTTGAGTCCCATGTCCACCAGCCCTTAGCTCTGTGGCCTTGGGCAAGTGACCGATACTCTCTGAACCTCAGTTTCCTTATCCGTAAAGAATGAGCTATTGTGAGTAATGTATGAGATAAGGTATATACAATGTCTGACACATAAAAGTATCAAAAATGACAGCATTATAATAGCTGATTTTTATTGAATGTTTTATATTCAATTCTAGGCTTAATACAGTAGGTATTTCACGGCAGCATGGCATAGCAGTTAATCATATAAGTTAATGACATTCCCTGGGTTCAAATCCTCTATGCCCTTGGGCAAGTTGCTTAATGTCATTATGATCATTAAAAAAAAATAGTAGTACGTCCTTCATAGGGTTGTTGTGAGTTTAAATGAGTTAATTCATGTCAAATACTCATAACGAAGCCAAGCATACGGTCATTACCCCCAAATGTTAGCCAATATTAAGAGCCTCTTTCTTCAGTTAACTAAATGTGCTTATATTAATCGTGTATTGAAAGGTCTACAATCACATTCTCAATGACGTTTGTTTCTGTGCTTGACTTAGTTAAGGCCCAATACTGAAGAACACAGGAAGAAACACTATGAGAAAATTGTAATGATCACTATAGGTAGTTCTCATCCCTCCAGAATACTGTCCAGACCAGAACCTTCAGGGGACCTGCAATTTTCATGAATATACATCCTTATTTTGTAAGACCAAATAGATCTCCTTAAAATATAGTCATAGATCTTGAAAATAACAGTGACAATTTGAAATCAATATTTCATAATGTGAAATACTATCCACACACCTGGAGTCTAGCACATTTTAATTGTAAGCGATGTCAAGCATACTATTTCATAACTGCAGTGCAAAATGACAACTAAAATTTGTCCAGTATTTTAAAAATAAGTTATTTACTACTCTCACATCTCTAGTTAATAAAACAAAATAAAATAAAATTTGAAGTTCTAGGCTTTCTTGAAAGAATAGGTAGTAACCCAAGAAAATAAGGTTATAGGAGTATGCCTAAAAATGTACTCCCTGAGGTACAGTCTATTTTAACTGGAGATCATGCATTAAACAAAGACTGAATATCTTTGATGGACGTTTCCTCAGTTTGAATGTGAAGATGGAAAACAAACATGGTGCAGCTGAGAAACCATTGGACCGGGTGTTAGAGAAACATATTTGTGCTCTTTGGCCTTGAACGTCAGACTAATAAGGGCTACTGTTCTCATCCACTGCCTTGAACAGTTCTGGGCAAGGCCTGCCATTCTCATCTGGTCCTTATAGAATTAAATAGAGAGTTCCTTCAGAAAAATTATAGATTTGGTCTTTGTAGGTGGTGCCCTCTGGAGTTCTGTAGTACGTAGTCTGCACAGCTATTCATGGCTGTTCTGAAGTAACCTAGTAATCTGGGCTCTTGTAAATAATAGCATAGAAATTTTGATGAGGTAGAAGTTAGACCAAGAAATAATCATGATTCTTTTGAAACACACATTCTCTAGTTCTTATGCACATCTCAAGAAAGTGAATTTTGGCTTATTTTCAATTGTCCCAGGACTCCATAATATTGTCTTTTAAATAGACACTCTGCCAGTTCCCGTAAAACAAACATGTGAAAGCCATTTATGCTTACTGTGAAAGGTGACTTAGCATATATATCACTAAATGTTTGAGGTTTAATTCCTCTATATACATATAAGGCAACTGCAGAGCTAACCTACAGATCTGTAAGCTGTGCAGTAGTTTAAATTTTTATGATTTCAATTTGCTGCCACCTGAAGCGAAGGGCTTTGGAATGCCAAATTACTGAAGCTCCTGGATTTCTTGGCAAGACTTAAGTGAATTCTAGGATACTCCGTGTAGTCAGCTTGGTATTAATAGATTTTTAAAGACAAATGCATTTAACATTTAAGCTCAATGGACTTTTAAAAAACAAAGCAATTACTTACATGGCATTAATTATATGAGCAGCCTCCTTCTGACAATTCAAATTCTTGTCTTCCAGAGTCATTTCAGAATATCTACACATTAGGTGCTAAAAACAAAAAGAACAACCTTGACATACCTCAAAGACTCCTCCTCAGGGATGGAAGAGCATAACACAAGATGCCTTTTCTGATTTGCAATATTATTGGCTAAATCTGGGGGCTTGAAAACAAAACCCACTGGTAGCTATTTTTCCTTCTATAGAGAGTTACAAAAAATTACATGGTAGCTTATGCAACAAAATCCTGCAGAGTCAGGCTCCTACCTACCTCTCCCACTTTATCTGGCACTGCCTGCTCTCTCACTCCCTGACATCCAGGCAAGGGCAGGCCTTCCCTGAGCTCCACGAACACACACGTTCTCACCACCTCTGGGTCTGCAGTGGACAATGTCCACATTTCCAGGGATAGGACGAGGGTGAGAAGAGTGAGACACTCACCTCAGGTGTGAAATTTAAGGAGGCATCAAAAAACTCAGTAATCAAGAAAAATAATATTTTAATGAAATATAAAATATCAAAATTAATGCCCCGAAATTGTGGAGAACACCATATCAAAAGTTTAAATAAAGATAGGAGGCTCCAACTCTGAATTTGTACCATTCTACCTCACCGGCCTCACCCTACTCATAGCCCTGTTGGATACTATCTCTAAACTTTTGATATGTTGTTACCATGGATTTTTAGCATTAACCTGAATTTGTAAACTATTGCATTAAATTATTATTTATCTTTATTACTGAGTTTTTGGTGTCCTCTTTAAATTTTGTCCCAGGACAGATTCGTGCTTCACTTGCCTCACCTTAGTCCCAGCAGATCTCCTTGGGTCTCTTTTGACTATTTTTTGTGTGCTCACAGCCCTTTCAGTGTGGTTTTGAGCCAACAGCCAGCACCTGTGCCTCTTTGCAATCAGACTGCCCTCGGACTAGTAGATCCGGCTTCGCCCATTCATGGGGAGAGCTGGAAGTACTAGAGAACTTCACCACCTGCCCTCTTCTGTCCTGCTTGCCCCACTTCCTAAGAGTTTCCCCTGGCAGCACATTCTTGCATAAGAAACCTCTATGTCTCCCTCCAGGGAACATGACCTAATTCAGAGCTTCACACTAGCTTTTCTCTATGATTCCAACACACTTTCTCAGGCTCTTTCCAGGTTGACTGCTTCTCACCATCTCACTGGTGTCAAAATGTCACCTACTCCTTCTTTGACCACCAACTCCCTTCTTCTTTCCTTATTTTATAGCATCCTATTTGCTTTCTTTCTAGTATTCATGAGGATTTATAATTATTTTATTTATTTGTTTACTTTTTCTTGGTTATTGGATTTTTTTACTATCAGTCAAGCTTCGAAAGGACAGGAGCCATATCTGTTCCTTTCATTTCTGCACCCCTAGAGTCAGCGCAGAGTGGGCACTCAACTAATAAATGCACATGAAGGCAGCATCCTGTTTCCCGTGGATTCAGAACTGGACACTGATGAAAAGGTGTGCACATTTTTGAAGGTGAATGACTGCTTTGTGGGTTCTCTTAAAGTATTCATAAAATTAAAAGAAATTTGCTTGAGGGATTTGTATTGTAAAAGCCTAAGAAGTTAAAAAAAAAAAAGAAAAAAAGAAAAAACCCTCTCGAGCGGAGACCATTTGCTTTTCTCTTACCACCAGAGGCAAATTCTCTACATCAAAATTTATAATTTATAGTAGAACAAAATAAACTCACCCAATCAATAAAAGGTATTATTGAGATACATAATAAAGGAGTAGAATAATAAAGTCTCAATGAAAGTCGCAGATTTTAGTAGCAGTGGCAGTACTTTCTTATCCTAGCAGGAATATATTTATAAAGTGATGAGGTAAGATTTATAAACCAAGAGCTCGAAGGGTGGATGTTGAGTTTAGGCAGAAAATCCTGATATCTGGGACACCAGGGAGTCAGAGTTCACACACTTTGTTCTGAAGCAAAGACGTTGTCCTGACTAATGATTTCCTTCAGCTTTTAAAAAAAACCTAGTCTCTCCTTTCTGATTGATTCTTAATGCATTTTATTCCCATAGTAGATCTGCAAGTCTTAGAATGTATATAAATGCTTATATGTATTTCCTGGCATTCTTTTCATTTTAAATACCTGTAGTTGTTCATCAATGTAAGGGATTTTTAAAATTTCTATAGCAGACGGCCTCAATGAAGGATTCTTGTTCAACATGCTGGAAAGTTTAAAAAGAAAATTATTTTACAGATGAACTAAAATGTAAATATAATTTAATATTGTTTCTTTGGTGATACATTTATTTCCATACCGTTCCATGATGGCATTCAGTTCTTTGGGATATCTCTTAGGGAGAGAAGGAGTGTCGCCTTCAACGATTTTTAAAACAATGGCCAAGAAATTGGAGCCAGTGAATGCATGATTCATGCAGCACATCTCATATAAAATGCATGCCAGTGACCTGAAGACAAAGTCAAAGAATTTAAATAAAGAACAAATGTCCTCTTTTAAATTTGATCATTATATAAAATCTCAGATGTGTTAGGGCATTGGTTTTGAGGCACTAACATACACTTCAGTTGTTTGTTTAAAAACTTCAGTTCCATAGAATTCTGTTCCTTTTAAGTACATGTTTACCTTTTCATTGAAGCAATGTAATTCCATATACCATTTTGATTTCAAGAACAAGCCAGTAAAAAATACTGAGAAAATTAGAAAATGTAGAAAAGTAAAAAAAAAAAAAAAAAAAAAAAGGAAAAAGTGAAAGAAGAAAGTACAAAATGTAAGTCTGAATGACCACTTTTTGTCAAAGAAGAGCAAACAAACCTCATGTTTGCACATAGTAGGGACCCAATAAATATTCGATCCATGTAGCAAGAAATTTTTTAATTAACCTCTACAAAGGAAAAATAAAATGCAGCTAAATATCATCTTCCTAAGGCAGTTTTGTTAATGTTATATATGCAAAATAAAATTTTAATTTATCAGCCTATTCTTTGCTCTACTGTGTATCCAAGCATTTTAAAATGAAACAGATTCTTTATTAGTTTTCTCAATAGAATCCATTTGCAAGTAGGGTGGAAGAGCAGCTACTTGCAGCTCACATTAAAATGTATAATTCTTCCTTTGGGTGTATGAAACAGAATATTAAAATTCTAGATCAGTCCAAAACTGATTTGGATTAACCATGCAAATCAGTAACTTAGAAACCAGCTGAATAATCTTTTAAATAACTACGTCATTAACAAAACTAAGGGGGAAATTCCTGCCTGAACTTAGTATTAAGAAAGAACTGTATTTCTCCTGAATAATGGATTACTTTAAATCTTATGGGTATTTTGAATTATGTAACTGGCCATGTCTCCCTTTTCATGTTACTTGTTTGAAACATCAAAATAAATTTACAGTCGACCTTATGTAAGTTGTGTTTTATATAACTTTTAACATTGTCCTACTTTCCGGGGGTTCATGAAAACGTTCATTTAAGAGAATTCCAATTATATACTCTGAGACTGTTTCTGTTTCAGTAAATAATAAGAACTCTAAAAATTTCCAATTGATTGATATTTTATATATTACAAAGTACTTTCATATATGTATCTCAAAGAGCCTCATAAATGCAGTGAAATAGAGTCAATATTATATTTTCCCCATTTTATACATGAGGAAACTGGCTCATTAAAGTTAAATGACTTGCCCAATTTCATAAGGTATTTTTATTTCCAAATTCTGGATTATTTCCATTACAGAATGCTAGAAAGAAGTGGGATATTGGGAGAAATCATGTGATATTGACCAGAACATCAAGATCAATGTAAACATAATTAATTATGAACATTATTTGAAGCTCAATAAATTTTGTATCCATCTGTAAGATCACTAAATGGTATCTAGTATGGTAGCACATATTTAGATTTCTATACCAAAAAAATTTCCCTTCAATAAAGGAGAGATAAAGACATTTTTAGACAAACAACAACTGAGAGAATTCATTGCCAGCACAACAGTACTAAAAAATATCCTAAAAGGGAGAAAAATGATCTCAGACAGAAACAAAGAATGCAAGAAGGAATAAAGAACACTAGAAAGAATAATTCTGTGACTATGTATAAGTCTATATTGACTCTATAAAACAACATTAACAATATATTGTGGGATTTAAAAATTATGTAGAAATAAAATTTCATGACAAAAATAATACAAAAGACATAAGAGTGTAAATGGAGTTAAAGTATTTTAAGTTCCTAGCACTACTGGAAAAGTAAAAATAATAACTTTTACCAGACAGCAATAAGTCAAGGATGCATGTTATCACCAGAGTTATCACCAAAAAAAAAAACAATAAAATAATGTATAACTGACAAGTATATAACTAACAAGTTACTAAAGGGAAAAAAATCAAATAAAATTTTAAACCAAAAGAAAGCAAGAAAGGAAAGAAAAAAAAAAACATAAAACAGGTGGTATATATAGAAAGCAAATAATAAGATGACAAAGAAAAAAACAGTAATTATATTTAAAATAGAGTAAATAATGAGATGACAAATAAAAAAGAGTAATTATATATTAAAAATTATATATAAATGGACAATACTTCAATTAAAAAAGACTATTGGGCTGAGCAAAAAATTATATACTGCTCACAAAACAAACCATAAATATAAGAACACAGAACAGTTCATAGAAAGAGATATACCATGCGAACCCCTATCAAAATATTGCTGGTGTAGCTATACTAATATCAGACAAAATAGACTTAAAGGCAAGAACCACAACTAAGATTCAGATGTTGGATTAATAAAGAAATCAAACCACTAGGAACATATAACCATACTAAAACCCAATAACAGTGTGTGTGTGTGTGTGTGTGTGTGTGTAGCAAAAATTGACAGAATTAAGAGAAAAACAACACGAATTCACAATTATAGTATAAGACTTTAACATACCTCTTTCAACAGCTGATAGAACAAGCAGACCAAAAAAAAAAACTGATAAGGATAAAGAAAATCTAAACACAACGACCAAAATTGACATAATTGACAAATTAACATAAACGCATCCGAACAAGTAAAGAATTCAGATTCTATTCAAGGACACATGGAACATTTTCCAAAATTGACCATACTCAGGGTTTTAAAGCAAACCTCAACAGATTTTAAAAGTTGAAAATTTCAGAGCATATTCTCTGACCACAGTGAAATAATATATCTATATATTAACAGAAAGAGAAAAAAAAAACCCTACAAAATCTCCAGCTGTTTGAAAATTAACAATACACATCTAAATATCCCTAGGTAATATAAAAAATTCCAACAGAAATTATAAAATATTGTTAATAAAGGTATATAACATCAACACTTATCGAATGCAGATAAAATAAATGCAGCTAAAATAAATACATGGAAAGTATTAAAGGAATATATTAACAAAGTAAAAGGCTTTGAACATCTATGATCTAAGTCAGCTTGAGAAGATAGAAAAAGAACAAACAGCATATCAAACCAAAGAATGTTCAAGAGAAGAAATTTTAAAAGTAGAAATTACTGAAATAAAATTAAAAAGCATTTAAAAAGGAAAATAAAAATAAAATCAGTAAAGACTAATAAGTTTAATAAACCTCTAGCAAGACTGATGAAGAAAACAAGAAAAACCACCCGTATGCTTTTTCAATAACAGAAATGGAAACGTATACAACACTATAGACTCCACAAGTATTAGAAAGTATTCAGATGGCATTCTAAATGTTTTTCCCCAATAAATTTGACAAATGAGATTAAATGAAAGGTCTTTAAAAATATAACTTACCAAACTGATACAAGAAGAAATAGAAAATCTGAATAGTCCTTTATTTATTGAACAGAGATAAGTAATTATTTAAAGTAATAATTAAAATATTTTTTAAAATCTTCCCACACACACACAATAAAAACTCCAGGACCAGATGGCTTTACTGGAAAATTCTTCCAAACATTCAAGGATGAAGAACACCAGTGTTAATCTCTTCATTTTATAAAGTCAGCCTAATTTTGATACTAAAATACAATAAGGATATTACAGAAAAGGAAAATTATAGGTAAATTTTTTATGAATATAGATTTTAAAAATCCAAATATACAAACACATATATTACAAGAGACTATGATGAAATGTTAAAAAGATAACATATCATGACCAAGCAGATTTTATTTCAGAAATATGGGGTTGACTCAATATTTGAAAATCAATCAATAGAATGTATCTCATTATGGAAGAAAAGAGAAAAATTCTATCATCTTGATAGTTGCAGAAAAAAAGGATTTGATAAAATTCAAAATTCATTTGTGTTTTTTAAAAAAGAAAATTCTTAGCATGCTGGGAATGGAAAGGAATTTCCTTAATCAGATTCTTAAAACTATAAAAACATATAGTAAATATTATGTTTATTGTTGAAATATTGATAGTTTATGCTTTTATTTTGAGATAGAAAACGGGATAAGGATGCTTATCATCACCATTTCTATTGAATATTGAATGTAGGTGGCTGCTCAAAAAACTAAGGCCAGAAAAAGTTAAAAAATATATAGACATGAAGAATAGAAAAGACAACGTTAAGCATTTCAGTATGATTGTGTATGTTAAAGGTCGTTTCTATAAGCCTACAACAGGCATATTTTAAAAATGAAATTAAAAATGTCATTTACATTAACATCAGACAACATTTAATACTTAGGAATAAAATCAGTGAAAGATGTGCAAGACCCTACACTTTAAACCACAATACAGTGTTAAGAGAAATTAATTAAAGAAGACCTAAAAAAAAAAAAAAAATGGAGAAGTGGGGTAGCAAGGGATAGATCCACATTCACAGATGGGAAGATTCAATATTATGAAGAAGTTGATGATTTTTTCCAGAATGATCTATAGACCCAATGTAATATTAAACAAAATCCTAGCAGACTTTTTTTTTTACAGGAATAACAGTCTGAATGTAAAAATTACACAGAAATGCAAAGGAAAATGATAGCCAAGGCCACTGAAGAAGAACAAATTTGGAAGTCTTCTATAACCAAATAACAAGATTTATTTAAAAATTATATTACTCATGAAAGTGCAATATTGACAAAGATGAAAAAATAGACCAATGGAACAAAACAGGACTCAAAAACAGATCCGCACATATTCCAATCACTTGATTAATACAAAGATAAACAGTATTGTGGTAGAGATCTTTTAAACAAATTAGCTGGCCAACTAAATAGTCAAATAGAAAATAATGCATGTGGACTCTTATCTCACAACATATACATGTACAGAAATCAATTATAGGTAGATCTAACTGTGAAAAATATACTCATAAAGATTTTTAAAAGAAAACGGTATAGTCAAGGCTTAAAATGTGGAAAGCACTAAAAATAAAGTTATAGACTAATAAAATGGACTTCATTAATATTACGAATTTCTATTAGTGAAAAGACTCCTTTA